GAGCTGCTGCCTCGTGTTGCAAAACCATCTCTTGCTGTTGAAGGGCTTGCTTCTGGGCTGTTGCTTCTTGCTGCTGAAGAGCTTGCTTCTGAGCTGCTGCCTCCTGTTGCAAAACCATCTCTTGCTGTTGCAGGGCTTGCTTCTGGGCTGCTGCTTCCTGCTGTTGAAGAGCTTGCTTCTGGGCTACAGCCTCTTTGTGCTTCATCAACATTTTCTGATAGGCTTGCTGCACGGATGCTTCTGCTTGCTGCTGAAAAGCTTGTCTGTGACCTGCCTCATGTTGCTGCTCCTGTTGTTGAAGGGCTTGCTTTTGCACTGCAGCTTCTTGCTGGTGAAGGGTTTGGTTGCAAGCTGCCTCCTGCTCTTGCCGCTGTAGGGCTTGCTTCTGGTCTGCGGCTTCTCGCATCATGCGAGCTGCTGCCTCCTGCAAGGCCATCTCTTGCTGCTGAAGGGCTTGCTTTCGAGCTGCTGCCTGTTGCTGCAACGCTATCTCATGCTGCTGCTGAAGAGCGTGCTTTTGAGCCAGCGCTTGCTGCAGCTGCCTTTGCCTCTCACGCTCCTCGCATAGGTTTCTCTTTGCCTGCAGCGATGCCAAATACATCTCCGACTTGTTTTGATCTTCGAGCCTGTGTGGAAAGAACATCGTGTTCGGCGTTGGTGTGATCAAACCAGGGAAAAGTCCACCTGACAGTGGTCCTGCTTCCTGCTTCACCTGACACGGTGCATCATTCAGAGGTACACAGCCTGCACTTCATTGTACACGTGCACACACACACACACCAAAAGTTGTATCTACAGCAGTTGTCAAACTGCAATTAGAAAAACTTGCTTTTACAGGAGCAAGCCGCTGGCTGCAAAGAAACTGCACCATTGGGAGTTGGTTGCTTTTGGCTGCTGAGGAAATTGCACCCAGCCACTAGAGTTTCGCAAGACCACGTTTTGCTGCCACTGGCAAGGTCCATTGCCATTGCGCAGTCACACCCTCAAAACAAAAGCTGGCCTGAGCCCCTGGTTCAAGCACACAACCTACAGCATTCTCTTAAGCGATTCAGTGTGATTCAAAAAACAAAACTTCACGTTGCCATCCACACACTGAAACGCTGCAGAAGCATTAGACTCGCCCTTCAGCAACATCAAACCTTTCACATGCGCTTTAGCATGCTTTAGCAGTTGCAGCGCCTGCCGCTTCCATTCCACTAGCCAAAATAGATATAGGGCAGCTAGAAGGACCTGCGCAAAAAAGCACTTCACAACGTATGGAACCAAACCACTGCTTGTAAAATCAAACAGTAGCTGCGTTGTTGCGCTGTACGCTTCAGTGCAGGCATCATAGCTGTAAATTTGCCGGTAAACTGATGCAGACAACTGGTTTCTTGTCACCCCAAACCAAAACCAAAAAAAAAACATGTTTCCGAGCCGATCCGAGCCCGTCAAAAAATCCGTCGCGATCTCTCGCGAAGACTTGGTTTTCCGTGTCGAAGACCTGGTTTCCCGTGCAAATCCGTGCCGCCAATTTTGGACGATCAGGCTCCGGTCGTTTAATAGGAACCCAAAATTTGTGGTTTCAGGCGGGAGAGGTTGGCGCTGCAGTCAAAATTGGTTTGACCCGCTCAAACACCCGATTTTGACAGAATACTGGTATTTGATTATAAATTATATATATATATTCTTCAGAAAGGTCAATCCTATGACTTGTTTCCCGTCGCAATACATCTCTAAGCGCCCCTCGCCAGCCACACTGATGCAGCAGCTCACCCGCTATACATGTATCCCTGGCTTCCAGCACATTCACACATAAGGCATGGGTCAGCAAACAACATTTATTCCCCTGCAGAGACGGTAGCTATATATATAGGACTAGTACAGCGGTCAGGCTGAATTGACTCTCCGACAAGCAAGAGTGATTAGCCCCCACGATTCATCCCCAGAACAGACCTGAGGTCATCAGGAACATTCAAACACTTATTGGAGCGAAGATAGGATATGACTGATTTCATATCCGCATCATCCCAGTAGTCAGCGTTCACACTCATTGCTGCCAAAATGGAAGACAATGAAGGACATGCGCTGGTGTCCTCACAACAAAAAACCAAAGGACGAAAGAAACCTCAACAAAACTCCATATAACCTCAAGATCCGCGGTTTCTAAGTGCCCTTTTTAGGTGGTCAGTGAAACCAAAAGCACGCCAAAAAGGGCACTTTGAAGAACAGCCTTTGTCACTGCTATCTTGTCTCATTGCTACCTTTCCACAAGAAACTATGTCCTGTGGCTCCCGCAGACCTCGAACTCCTTCAGAAATTGTTGGGAGCAAGGACGCAACTTTGTAACCAAAGGCCTTCGTATAGCTCCTCAAAGGAAAACTACCCGGATAGGATTTGGATAGCTCTCTCGCGTTCAAAAAGACCACAGACTTTGAGCGTTTGAGGCCTGAAAGAACAACAGTCGGAGAAGCCACCAAGAACACTATAGTTCCAAGCCGAGCTTCTGTGATTGTTTTAATACCTTTTTGTTTCCCGTGCATCTCTTTTTTCCATGTTTGTCCCTGTACGTAGTTGCAAGGGGTTCAGCGGAAGCCTTCATCTCCTTTGTCAGGGTACCCAAGTCTAGTTTCTGCACATGCCAGCTGTTCGACCACAGGCATGTTCTCTTCCAGCTCTTGACCCCATAGTGTTTCATCCAAAGCTTTTGCCGGAATACCTGGGTGCATCTCTGCTCATGTTTTGTGTTTTGAGGGCTCCGTTTTGGGGGCGAACAAGTGCATGAAGTGTATCCCCAACCACCCCGATATCACATGTACAGCCACCCCCCAAAACAGAACCCCAAATTGCAGGACGCCACTGACCTATGGACACATGCCTAATTGGCTCAAAACAGCAAAGCAGCACCAGTGCAAAACGAAGCACGAATGCAACCTGCTGGCAAAAATGCTGGAAACGTGGCATATCTCCAAACTTTGCTGAACCCGGTTGTTCCAGCAAGAACACGTGCCCCAACGCAACACATAGCCAGCAAAGTAGTGTAACGCGACAAGACATCACGTTCCCCATCTTGACCCAAACAACCCTTTCATCTCCCAAAGGGGAATACCAATATCGTTTTGCCTGGCTTGAGCACATGAAGCTGAACCCTGAACATTCAGGAGCCAACACCACCAAGCTGGCTGGCTGGAGGCGTAGTATTGACCAAATCGCACACCTCAGCAGAAGCGGATCTTTTTTAACTTTAGAGAACCCAGAAAGAGCAAAGGTTGAGAAGTAAAGTTCCAGGAAGAACAAATTGAACGCAACATATGTCACCAATTTTGGCGTTTGCTGTTCTCCCTACTTTTGGCGCAGTTCCTTTGAGTCCAAAGTGAAAATTGCACACAACACCAGTTCCGCTAAAGTCACGCCATTCCTGCTGGGTCAAAGATATTGTTGTAGCGCCCCCCAAAGCCAGCGTCCACACGCAACCCCCGGAATCCAACATACTGGAGGGCCCATGTCAAATTGGACTGGCCTGCGAAGAATTCTACGAAGGTATAATCCTCAGAACAAGAAGTCAACACCGGCTTTCTGTAAAACATCTTCAACGCTCTCACTCCTACCTCCACGAGCAAACTGTACAACTTTCGTTCAGGATCCCAGTCCAACTCCAGGCCATCAGTGCACAGGAGAAAAAGCACACACAACACCAATGCCTTGGCAAGCAATAGGAAAGGGGCAACACCTGCGCTCTAAGCAGCAAATCTTCCTTGGAAACAAAAATGGAAAAACACGCGCGCTCAAAACCGACATGCACTCTCAGTTGGGCACAAAGGGCACTTTGGCTTTGGCAAGGCGAGGAAGCACCGCGTCCAGTGACCAACGCACCATGAGTGCACAGTTTATGGGTGCACAGTTTGTGTTTTGCTGCTGGACAGCACCCTTGTAACACGCAATCACCAGTCAAACATATTCCTACAAACACGATTGGCACAAGACATCTCCACCAGCGCAGCTTTGAACTGCAAACTTGAGAAAGACAGGCCAAGGATCAATGTGGAGGAAACCAAAAAGTGAGTGACCAATTCTTAAGAAATGAGAGATGAGAGAAGTGTGTTCCAAAGGAATCAAGGTAGCAGGGGGCGCCTTCATCTCCAGAGTCTGAGTCCTGGAGCCGTTGTCGCTTTGCTCTCGGCATGGCCTCAGGTCGTGGTTGTCCGTGGACATATCAAAAGTATATCAGGAAATTTCTGGAAACAATATATTATTAAAGACACTTTCCGTCGGACTTTCAGTAGTTGTTATTCACGCAAGCGTCCTTTTGTCATCATTCCACTTCACAGAGTAGAGCAAACGCTATCCATCGCAAAAGATTGCGAGACAAATCCCCAAGACAGAGCAGCCTCACGCTGGGTTTCACAACGACTTCAAGAACACTGGACACTTTACTGTTTCATTTGGTGGGATGTACAGCCATGAACAAACTGAGACACTGCCCAGCATGTTCAACGCTTGCTCTGGAAATCCCCTGCATGACTCAGTTTTGAGCCCCTGGAAGACGGAGCACTGCCGTTGAAAGGCGCTTCAGCTCCTCATCCACCATCGCCTCCAGGCCATCTGGAGAGCCATTGGATCGCTGCAAATAGGCAGCCTTAAACAGTGACAGGTGCTTTGCAAAATTTGAACACGCTGACTTGAACACCCGCACCGATCAACAGCACAGCACAAAGTTCAGGAACACTAGCACTTTACCGCGGTTTGGGTGCTCTTCATTTCCTGCAAGCAACAACTGCATTCGCCAAGAAGACATACACGCAAAAGCTCTGGGTTGTCGTAGCCTTGATGGACCAAACCTGCTTCTTGTCCTTCCTCCTCTGGACGGCAACCCCCCGCCGTGTCCAGTAAAAGATCAATTTGTAGTCGTCGGTATCCTCTCGCACCCTCAGCCAGTAAGTCAAAGCCACCACACAAGAAGAAATTGGAAAGAAGTCTTCTGGTAGAAGGTGAAATGAACATGAATAATCGAATCAAAGGCGCTCTTGGCACCATTTCTGGGTGTCCTCATCCACAAGCTGCGGAGACTTGACCTTCGGTTTAGTGTCAACATCCTTGGCATCTGAAGTCTCTGCCGAAGGAGCAGCAGCTCCACCACCACCCTCGTGCGCCTCGCGCACACTAACCTCAGAACTCTTGGCTTCCTGTGCAGTTTGTTTCCTTGGAGCTCGCTTCTGCGCACATGGCTTCCTTTGCTTCCTTGCTGACTTTGGTTTGGACTTTCGTTGGGTTTGTTTTCCATCCCTTTTCTCCTTGGATGCTTCCCTCTTGTCCTCGCGAAGACGACGCTGGTCAGCACTTCGCAAAAGCATCAGCTCATGAGGCTCAGCCTGGTGCGAGTATTTGCCCACACACAACTGCTCAAAGAACAAATTCTATTCGCAAAAAAAACAAACCTTGAGGTTTAGTGCTCACCTTGATTACGACGCTATAATTGAAGGACAGGGGGCTGTCGAGGCTGAGGAAGGCTTGCTCAAGGCAGCTCCATGTAAGCTGGTGGCCTCCTCCTTCGCAGCTCCAAGATCAAGCTTTGGCCCGACAAAGTCAAAGTCATTTGGTTGCTTCAATGCTGATTCTGAAGGAGCACGCTCAGCAACCTCCACTGCACCCAACTCAGAAGCCACAATCTCAAGCCCATTGTTCCCTGACTCATCACCACCAGTTTCTGTTTTCACACGCACTGGTTCTCCATGCCCCTTGTCACTCCGAGCACTTGGCCGAAGGTCGACAAAGCGCACAGATGACCACTTGCACCTGTTGATTCGCACCCAAAGATCTTCCCCACAAAGATCGTCCCCAGACTGCCGTTTTGGATTCCTTTTTGGTTCCGCTGAGTCCTGGACTTCATCGATTGGCATCCCAGGTGCATCTTGAGGAAGTGGGTCCACAAGCGTGTCGGGAAAGGAATCCTCCACCACTTCCGGCGCGGCGCATGTGTCTCTGACGGCAAAGGGATCACCCTCCATGCAGGGCACAGCGCAAGCACCAGGCGCAACTGGTTCTGGTGTTGTAGGGCCATCAGGAACCTCAATCGTATCAGTCGCCATTTGGCCCATGTTGAAGCAGTCCTGGAACACGTTGTCCATCGCCTCCTCAAGGTCAATTACATTACCAAGACACGTTCTTCTTTACATTTACATGAAAATAGTAGATGGGAACCAAGGCAATGCAACAACTCCCCACCTCCACTTCTTCAAGGTTCATAGGTAAGGTTTGGAGGTTGTCTGGTAGGTCAAACTTCACCAATGATTGGGCCACGCGCTCTCCCTCCATCACCACCACCTGAACGCAAGTCTTGCAATAATGCTTCCAGAAGCGTTTTCTTGTTTTAAGGGTGGAGTGAGCGAACAATTGAACACCTGCAATTTCATGTTACACAATTGCCTGAGAATCTGTAAGGACTGGAGCAGCATCACTGGGCTCCCTCCCTTCCATCTCTGGCAGGTCTTCAACGGCACCCTCCCCGTGGCAAGCAAACTGATGGTCAAACTGCGAGTCCTCAAGGGTGTCTGTGTGACCAAAGGCGGAGGGATTCCAAGAAGCATCCACCAACCTAGATGAACCAACACCTGCGGAAGTAGGGCAATCAGCAGATAGGCTTGGATCCTGAATCAACGCTGGGTCCGCGAAGTAGCCCAAATTCATCCTTCGCAGCTGTGACAAATCTTCATTGGTATATCCTAGCTGGGTTGGTCCCAAGCTTGGCGACGGAGAACAAAGAATTGGAAGGAGAGCTGGTGCCAAGACTCCACCCATGTGGTTTGTGTTTGGCACCGGTGATGAACTGTTATCCTCCAAAATTTCCACAGACCCAGTGTCAGACCGACTGTCAGACCCAACAACTTCAACGAAATCTGATTGGTTGAAGGCAGTGCTTGGAGCACCCTCAAAATCAGCTGCAGCCATCTGAAATTGAAGTGGCCTGGCATCTGGCTGCCTGGAGCCAGGGCTACATGCCAGGCGAGCTTCCTCCAAAGCAAGGTTCAAATGAAGCCTCCAGTCGGGCTCGTTAGGAACTGAACCCCTGAGTTCTTCCACTGGAACCTCTGCAGTGTCTGGAACTGAACCCCTGGGTTCTTCGACTGGAGTCTCTGGCGTGTCTGGAGAGTTGGAGCCAGACTGCTTCCTTGAAAATCGAGGCCCTTTGCGCTCACCACGTTCTGACATCCTCTCCCAAAAAGCAACCTCAAAAAATCCACAGCACTGCGCATTTGAGCACTTGCACCATGAAGCACAACTGGGCTGGCCAAAGAAGCAAAGAGGAAGCAGACGCACAAGATGCTACCAAGCAACACTCAAAGTTTGCACCTCAGCATCCCGCTGGCCACTGGATCTGTCTGCAAGTCCTTGGCAACTTCGGCAGCTTGTTCTCAAGCTTCTGATGGTGCATGTCTACACTGATCACCGATGATTAAACAGTGGGTGCACAAACACCAACACAGCCACAGGTCTGGCATGGTGGTTCAGCAGAGCTTTGATCGCGTGAGCATCTTTGCTGATCTTCGTTTCGCTCACTTCAGCCTAAAAACAATGTGCTTGAACTGACACATGTGTACTCGTAAACATGTCTGGAAAATAGCACATCCACAAAAACTTAACGCCAGCAAGCAGCCTTCCACTCATGGTTGAGATTGACCAGCAAGGGTTCGATGAAAGGAACCAATCCCAATTTCTTGTGGAATTCACTGAAGCCCACAAAAGGAATGAGCAAACGTTTGTTCAATTTCACTGCCAACGCCGTTGGTTTTTTCTGTTTCTTTTTACCCTCCTTCTCATCTTTATTCACATTCACAGGCCACATGACAAAGCACCTTTGCGCCTGCGTCCGAGTCTGGAGCTCAACATCGCACTTGAGATCCTCCACACACACACCACTCTGGGGAGAACTGGGAAAAACCGGGGAAGGTGACTCAGTTACAGTCAACAAAACGTGAAAGTAACAAATTATGGTTTCACACTCCATCCTTCCAGATGTTCCGGGCCACAGCTCGTTCGTCTTCTGAAAGGTGGACTAAAGGATCCGGAAGCTTTGGAGTCTCACCCATGGCTGCTCAAAAAGGTTTGCGAAACAGCAACACTACACCCCGAGCTGCGCTGCGGAACACAACTATTCAGCAGCATTCAGCATTTGCATGTTCCCAATGGAACTGGTTCAGTCAAAAGCTTTTTCTGAATTGGGCCACCGACTGAGAGATGCACAGCAACACTCCCATTGCTTCTGCCAAGGACTTAAGTCATCTAAACAAAACTCCAGTGTGGAAGCAATCTTGCCTCACCGATGCACACTAGTGGTTTCCAATCCTGTAGAACGACTGGTGTCCAACGTTTGCTGTGTGCCATGTCGCTGGTGACCGCGCAAGCAAACTACCATACAACAGTCAACGTTTACCCAGGAAAGTCTACAAAAGAAAAATATATAGCTATGCGTGTGTGGTTCGCATTGGCATAGCCGTGAATAGAAATGAAACCACCGAAGAGCATAAAATGGCTGCTCGAACCTGGATCTTGAATGAAGGCTCAGGCTGAAGCAACACCAGCTTCTGACTTCTGACACAGAGCCTTTGGCCGAACAGTGGCCACAGCAAAAAAAAGTTACAATTGCCACAAAGAAGGTTGTAAACCAGCTCCCTCTCTGTCACTCTCTCTCTTTCTCTTTCTTTATAACATATTTATACATATGTATATACAGATACTTATGTATGTTTAAACGCTTTATAAACTCTGCTCAACACATCATGAGCATGGGTATATACGCACAAAAGCTTTACTGCACCTTAGATTTTTTCACAACGTGCGCCCAGAACTGATTCCAAGCCCGGGCGGTTTCCTAAACATTCCCAATCCGAGCCCAACACCTATTTTTTGAACATGTCCAATCCGAGCCGGAAACCGATTCTTGAACAGCGCCAATCCGAGTCCAGAACCGATTCTTGAGCAATCCGAGCCGGGAACCGATTCTTGAAC